GTATTATATTTGATCACTGAATATATCAAATACGTCTATCTTCCTTCTGTGATAATCATCGATCAATTTATGCACAGTATCGTAAGGCTCAAATACATTACTTTGTCATGTTTTGTGGAACTCAAGTATATTTTCGAAGAAAATAGTGAGTGTAAGTTTTAAGTTCAAGATTTTGCGGCTCTTCCTCCTTTCCATTACAGACCATATCAATAGAGGAGAACATTGTAGACCTTAGCGACCAGGTTTAAAATAATGGATATACATATACATCTATATATAATATTTTCATTCGTCATATAATTCAATACTTTTTATAATAAAAATTTAAAATTAAAGAAAAAAAAGCAGTTTTAAAAATGAAAAATACTGAGAGAATAGCAACAAAAGAGACGAAAAATAAGGGCGCCTGTCAGAAAATTAAAAAATTCGTAATTTTATACTATCTATATTGCATATTAGTATAATAAAGCTGAAATACATACGTGAGTTCCATATTTCAGCTACAAAGGAGCTGCGCTAACAAGCTTTTTCTTTTGATTGAACTTTTAAGTTCTTTTCTAAAGTTTAGGTTTTTCGTTTGAATCCTTCGAAACAAATAAACAGTTTCAAAAACAAAATTATATTTCATATTTAACAGTTTCGAAAAATTTTCTCTTAAGTAAATAAAATCTTCTTAGGTGGATTTTTTTAGGAGATAAACTGGCTTCGATAAAATATTTGTTGATAAATCATTCGAGAAAATTAAAAAACAAAGCGAGAGATTATCAAATTTTAAAAATCTTCACTTGAATTACTTTCTTTTTATTTTTCTCAACAGAATATGTCTTTATAGTGAAATATGTTAATATATCTTCTAATCAATATGTTTACTATGGTATCATAAATTCGATTATTTTACTAGTGATTAGAACTTAGTTTAATATTGAATACTCATTCATATGCCTACATCAGTATAAAGTTTTATTTCGTGATCTAGATTCGTAAATAGTCTTCTGCCGGCTTTTACGATTTCTTTTTAAAAATCTCATACAGACAGCAGTGCATTCGAGTAGATATTTATTAATACGTTGATAGAGTAGAATTAATAATTATTGAAATGAGTGATTTGCATATGATAAACAAGGCAGCAAAATTTTTGTCCATTGAATATTTATTCATAAAATGTAAACTGCTTAGGATGTATGTATGCATTTGAGTCGCTTCGATTTGTGTCTATTGATACACTGTGAATAATCTATTGTCTTCTTGAGTAATTGTCTTAGTATTTTATCGTATATTTATGCTCGAACTTTTTTTATCAAAACTTTAGTTACTATACATTTAACGAGATAGATTCTGTTTTTTGTTTTCAATCAAGACACACTCATGAACTAAAAATATTTCTGTACACAATTCTTGCTTATTAATCTCACTATTTTTAAATAAAATATTAAAATTGTTAATAATTAGATTATACAATCGAACTATTTTTGATCGAGTAACAGAAATTTTCTTTAAGATTTCCTTTTTGAAATATTGTCTTTCATCGATATTCATTCTATTATTGTGACTAAACAATGAACAATAACTTATATTGGCCAAGTAATGAAAGTTGGAAAAGTCGTTGGCCAGTCGGTCTTGTTGCCTTAATTGCTGTCATTCAACTTTTTTTTTCATTTGCTATCTTGCTACTTCATACTGCCATCGTTGTTATTGGCATCATTGTCTTCTGCATTGGAGCAGCACCATGGTTCATAATGGGTTTTGTTTGCTGGATTATTTTTTTGGCATGTTGGATTTCAGTCTTCTGTGTCAGTGAGTAACCGTTCGTTTATTGCTTATTTCGATAACTAGACTAGTATGTTTCGAAAAAAAACAAGTTTGTAATATATTGATTAATATTCTGAAATAGGACTAAATATCTGAATAAGTTCAATTAATACTCGTTCAAAACAAATGTTTTCAAATGACAAGAAAGTCTTTGAAAAGACAGCACTATGTTCACATAGAAAGTTTGATGCAATTTTTTTATGTAATGATAGAGAAAATTACGCTCTATTTGATCATTACTGAACCAATATCATAGTACAATGTTCATTATACTTCTTTAGCCGTGATATGTTACGATGACAATCCATAGATACGCGCACTCTCCATAGGGAATTTTCCATTTTTAGACGTCTATTCAAACTATCAGTGAAAGATGCACAAGTGTCTAAGATTGACATGTTTGAAGTTAGTTTTTCAGCACTCTAAAGTATCCTATTTGAAGCTGTTAATAGATATTCTCACAAATTCTGTAAAAAAATTTTTCTTTTTCATTTTTTTGTCGATGAAAAATCATTATTTTCATACTTTGAAAATTGATTAAACAAAGTGCAGACAACATGTTTGAAAAAATTCATAGTATTCAGTACGAAGCATCTTCATCTCTTTTGTCGAACGACGAAAAATGCAGCTCTCTTTCTTATTGCAATAAGAAGTTGTTCAAAAAATATTCGGCTTCTTTATTCCCTCGACTGAAAGGAGGGTCATACAAAAAAAAATAGTTTGTGTGTGTGTTTGTGGGTTTGTTTGTGTCAGGGTCAAAAAAACATCCGCTTCTACATAAAACTTGACCAAAGGGTAATCGAGGGTGGGGAACTCGAATCTGAGGTTAGTTTTAATTAATTATTAACTAATTATTAACTGATTATTAATTAATTATTAATATTTTGTATAAAACTTGACCAACGGGTAATCGAGGGTGGAGAATTCGAATCTGAGGTTAGTTTTAATTAGTTATTAACTAATTATTAACTGATTATTAATTAATTATTAATATTTTGTATAAAACTTGACCAAAGGGTAATCGAGGGTGGAAAATTCGAATCTGAGGTTAGTTTTAATTAATTATTAACTACTTATTCCCTCAGCTGTAGGGAGGGTCATATGAAATAAAATAAGGTTGTATGCGTCTGTGTTTGTGTCAGGGTCAAAAAAACATCTGCTTTGAGGAAATTTTCGATATGTGGCGTTTCAACAATCGGACTCTTTATGCCGAAAATCCAGCCAATCAGGGGTTTTCGATATTGGGCTTTCAGCCAATCGGATTTTTTCATGCCAAAAATCCAGCCAATCAGGCGTTTTTTGACGTTGAGCTTTCGACCAATCAGATTTTCATGGTCAGGAAGTCCAGTGAATCATGTTTTCGCTGACCGAGTCTTGTCCAATAAGGTTTTTGCGCAAGAGCTTCAGCAATGAAATCTTCTCACTCTCTCGCTTTTGCCCAATGAGATTTTTACGAAGCTGAGGTTTGTGTGAGTGAAATGTTTTCGCGATTTCGCTTTGTTCAACCAGTTTTTTTCAGCTGGAAACTGAGTTAATCAGATTTTTTTATTGTACGGCTCTGCTGCAATCAATTGTTGCAAGACTGGGAGAAGTCGGTACTTATAGCGGTCTAGAAGTTTCCTTTCTCCTTTGTTCACAGGTAGCTATGCCTTGTAGAACATCGATTTTTCAAAAGCTCTGGCAATTAAAACTGTAAGGAACAGATTACAAGAAACTATGATTTTTGGGACTTCTGACCTAAAAGTTTTTGGTTATAAATACAACAATGTTTTGCAGTAAGCCAAACGTGACCCGACTAGAATGCGAAGAAAAGAGGGTGATTTACTGGGAATGTTGGTTTAAGCATGAAACCGGCTAGCCATCAGTGGCGCCGACGAACGACTAGCCCGTGATCTGGCGGGTTCGCCGAAGGTACACCTTGGGCCGGCGGAATTTATATAAAATTGCTCGTTGATCGAATCTCACCGGTTGAAAGTGTCTGGAAATTGCGAAAAACTCAGTGCGGTAATATGAGTTTTGATCCTCGATAAATGGACTGGAATAAGGAGTTACGAACCAAGAATAGCGATAATGACAGGCACAGGGCTGACGTTGTAGCTTCAGACGGAAGAAGGTCTTGCAGAAAAATGCGAATAAAATGTGTGTTACTGCGTGCAATGGTTAGGAACATTAACAATTTGTCAACAAATCACAGAGCGAAAGGATTAAGAAGAAAGTGAAGGACTGTTTAAAACCATACTGGTGTCATATACGAAAGCGAGCAGTCGCGAGTGGTGACTCGTATTGACCACGGCGACTAACTGTGAGCTGCCTCTTACGGTTAAATTTGGAAAATTCGAGGAGAAAATTGAAAAGCGAAATCTTTTTAGAACGTGGTAGTCTCCTACAATAGTATGCGGTTTTTTTCATACATGTATGTGTATATAACAATAGTTTTCACAATGAAATCTAGAAGGTAATGATAGATAATGAATGGACGGGATTCAGTCGAGGGCTAAGCGAGTCGTAACGATGAGCGTTACTTGTTTTAATAGAATTAGTACAGTCGTTACTATTTAAAGAACAACAGTTATAGTCGTAATTTTATTATTACGATATTAGTGCAACGATGATCAAATAGAGTATCATTGTTTTTTCTATTACTATGTAAAAAATGTTTGTTCAAGCCTTCTACATGAAAAATAGTTAGTGATGATAGCATTGTTTTATATGTATTTATAAGCAAGAGAAATACAAATACCAATATTCAATAAATAAATCACGGTTATTATAACTTGTGAATTTCAATTGTGAATTTAAAAGTTTTTTTTAAATTCATAATCGTAAAAAGGAGAGATTTCCATAGATGAGAACAATAAGTACACTTTGTAAAACGATACACCTATACGTCAGTGAATACGTACGACTATTTCCAAATTCTTCGCTAGATGTTCACTTTAATGAATATTCTTCGTCATTCTTTTGTAATAAAATAGAGATTTTAATAATTAATTTTGTTCATTTAGTAGTATTTATAATGAAGCATACGTCGCAATATCTGTTCATATAATTTTTCTTAGCTATTAAATAAACTATGTTTCTTTTTGTTAGCTTGTTGTAATCGTTCATCGGTTGGTTGTGCAACATATGTGATGATAAAAAATCTAATCGCATTTGTTTTCTCAGCTGTACTTCTCGATTTTGATACCAAAATGGTTAATGCTGGTGATTACAGTTTTTCTTTGGGATATTACATTAGTGGTTGTACAACTACAAACAGCAGCAATACCAATTTCCCATATATCCTGCTTTCATTGACCAAAGGACAATTAGCTGCTTCAGTTGTTATGCTAGTATCATGTCTTGTTTTTGTTGCTATTTATATTTATGTATACATAACAGCATTGATGGATGAACGAGCAGGATTGAATAAGAAATTTTTACCGAATAATCAACGTCTACCAATACCAGATCCGATAGCTGGATTACCTCAACAACCATGGACAAGTGGGGCACCACAAGCAGTTTCTTATTCACCCGCATCAATGGATATAGGTTCTAATACAATACGTTCTCATGATGGCTCACAAACTGTTCTTTCTCCTAGCTGTCACACAAAGTTTAAAGTACTTGATCGATTTTAAATGATTTTATCAGATTTATTTTATACTGATATTTCTATTTAATTAACTTCGAATCGTTCTTTTTGTTAAACCAAGGAAAATTACATATTCTTAATAAGCTTATTTTACTGAGTCTAGAGTGTATCTATCTTTAAATTTGTATTTTTCTTTTTCATTATTATTCGAATAAAATTTGATCTCTTCACTTTAATTATAAGAATAAATTTTATCAAATTCAAATTAATTTATTTCGTTTTCAAAACAAATATCAGATAAAGAAAAGTGAAATCATCCAAAATAGGACATATCAAGGAATAATTTAATGAAATGATAGGGTATGAATGTGGATACAAGTTTAGATAAGACTTATAACAACATCCTAAGGTCAAATGTTGTCAATTCATTCTTCAAAGTTAACTTCGATTGTGCTCGTTCGATAGTGATACAATCAAGAATGAATTCATATCAGAACCATCTCATTTATCCAATTTTACTCAGAGGTATGAGTGCGAACTTCAGCCTAAGTTTTAAGTTTGCTTTAGTTGACATCCACACAAGGAAGAAGGAGTGAAACTTCGGGAGTGCGTACTACTCTCATACTTCACAATACTTCGGAAGTAGATGAAGTCTCGCTCCTTTTCCCCCTTGCATCCAAATGTAACCACATCCAAACGCTCAGACTTGCGCTCTTACCAATATCCATATTTACACAAACACAGAAGCGTAGATCTACCTATTCCTACTTTCATGAAAGGGTGTGGGTGTGGGTGTTTGTGTGGGGTGTGGGTGTGGGTGTGGGTATGGGTATGGGTGTTTGTGTGGGGTGTGAGT